TAATAATCTTCCTAGGTTGCATGATCTGTAGCAAGGCTGTGCCACTAAACCTTGATATGAGGGATTGCCGAGTTACCTTTCTTTACCATGCATTGTTCGAGTATAGCTTCAGGTTGCAATGTAACAACAGACAAATCCGGTGGCTCGGGCAAGTCTGCAAACACTTTAGAATAGTTTGCAGTGAATGGCTTTAGTTGGGAAACATGAAAGACATGATGTATGAGGCTGGCAGCCGGAAGATCCAAACGATAAGCAACAACACCAATTCTTTCAGTGATGTGAAATGGACCAAAGAACTTCAACGCGAGCTTGTGGCAGGGTAGTTGACCAACGAAGATTGTGCATATGCTTGGAGTTTGAGCAGAACTTCCTCGCCAACAAAAAATTCCCTATCCGTACGATGCTTATCAGCCTGTGACTTGATTCTCTGCTGAGCCCGTAAGAGATGGTCACGTAACAAAGCCAAAAAATCTTAACGATCTGCTGCTAGCTCTGCTAGGGAAGCAGGTAATTCTCCAGCGCCAATCGGCATAATACCAAAATTAGGATCAATGCCATATAATGCCTTAAAAGGAGTGTTGCCAAGAAACGTGTGGTAAGAGGAATTATTACCAAAACTCTGCCATTGGTAACCAATGTTTCCACCTTGCCGGTCTGTCATGAACGGCACCACGTAGATACTGTTCTAAGCACTGGTTAACACGCTCTGTTTGCCCGTCCGTTTGGGGATGATACACCGTAGAGTAGCATAACTTGGTGCCTATCTCCTTGAAGAGCTTCCTCCAAAAAGAACTAGTAAACACCTTATCTCGGTCGGAAACAATCGATGATGGAACTCCATGAAGGCGAACCACATTATCAATGAAAACTCTGGCTACGGACTGAGCTGTATAGGGGTGTTTCAGAGGCAAGAAGTGAGCATATTTAGTGAGTCGATCAACCACCACTAGGATTACCTCAAATCCTTCTGATTTCGGAAGCCCGTCTATGAAATCCATGGTAATGTCCTTCCAAGGGCGCGTAGGCACTAGCAAAGGCTGTAGCAACCCACACGGATGTGTGCGCTCATGTTTTGCTTGCTCACAAACTTGACATTGCTTCACCCATTCCTCAACTTATTGTTTCATGCCAGGCCATTGGAATAATTTGGACACACAGTAATACATGGCCCTAACGCCTGAATGACCCCCAACAACGCTTGAATGCAGAGCACTGATTAGTTTTGTTTGCAGTGCAGAATTATTACCAATCCATAGACGTCCTTGATATTTAAT